CACCTTCGTCACCTACGGCGAGGACGGGGCCCGCCGGGAGGAGCACCCCGTCGTGCAGGACAACTGCTTCTACCAGGGCGAGGTGCAGGAGAGCCCCGGCTCCCTGGTGGCCCTTAGTACCTGCGGCAGGGGGCCCCATGGCGTGGTCTGGGTGGAGGATGGCACTTATGAGATAGAGCCCGTCCCTGATGATCCAGCCTTCCGGCACATCATCTACCGCATGGAGGAGGCCAGCGACCCCCTGGGTCCCACCTGCGGGCTGACTCGGGAGGAGCTGCAGCGCCAACAGGCTTTGGTGCCCTGGTTCAAGGTCCTGCGGGTGAAGGAGGAGGAAGAGGAGGAGGAGAAGATGCTGAAGGATTGGTGGACACATGTCAGTTATGTGAAGATAGTAGTGGTCGTGGACAACGTGCGGTTTGTGAAGTCGGGCAGGAACGAAACTGAAGTCTTGAGGCAAGTCATAGAAGTCATCAACATTGGAGATGCTCTCTACGAACAGCTTTCTGTTCGGCTGTTTCTTGTGGGATTGGAGATCTGGACCAAAAGCAACCTTATAAACATTACGAGCTCTGTCAGCAAGGCACTTGACGACTTTAACAAGTGGCGAAAGTCAGACCTGTCTCCACGGATGCGCCATGATACCGCTCACTTGTTTGCATTTCAGAGCTTTGGAAGGAGCCTGGGATTGGCATTTCTAGGGTCCATATGTGATAACCAGTGGTCATCAGCAGTTGCTTCCTTCACCAACAGGAGGTTGTCCTCATTTATTACCACATTCGTCCACGAGCTGGGCCATAATCTTGGAATGAACCATGATAAACCGGGCTGTAAATGCAGACGAAAGAAATGCATTATGTACGAAAGTGACGTTGACACCGATGCGTTCAGTGACTGCAGTTACAAAGACTACTTTGACCTGCTTGGGAGTGGTGCCAACTGTATTCGTCAACCACCAGCACCTGGCACTTTCTACACCTTGAAGCAGGAATACTGTGGGAATAAGATAGTAGAAAGCGGAGAGCAATGTGACTGTGGTTCACAATCAAAATGCAGAAAGGATTCTTGTTGTCACCCGAACTGTACATTTACTGCAGGTTCAGTCTGTGCTTCAGGAAAATGCTGCAAGAGCTGTCAGATCCTTCCAGCAGGAACACTCTGCAGAGCAAGTACTGGCGACTGTGACCTGCCAGAGTATTGCAATGGGACTTCCCCTCAGTGCCCGCCAGATGTGTACATACAGGATGGAACCCCTTGCAAAGATGATGCTTACTGTTATCGAGGCAAATGTTCATCCCACAGTAAACAGTGCCAGCATCTCTTTGGCAAACAAGCCAGGGCCGCTCCTTTAGATTGCTTCAAAGCAGTGAATACTCAAGGTGACCGTTTTGGGAACTGTGGTATTCGTAACGGTATCTATTTTACAAAATGCAGTATTGAAAATATCTTATGTGGTAGGATCCAGTGTGAAAGCTTAAACAAGTTGCCTTTCTTGCCGAACCATGTATCACTAGTCCAAACCCCCGTTGGAAGTAAAAAGTGTTGGGGTCTCGACTATCACGTAGGGATGCCAATAGCTGACGTGGGGGCTGTGGAAGACGGCACGCCATGTGGTACTGATAAGCTTTGTATCAACAGGACATGTACCAGCATATCGCTGCTGAACTACGACTGTAACATGACAGTGTGTCATGACAGAGGAGTGTGTAACAATCATAAGAACTGTCACTGCAGATATGGCTGGGCTCCTCCATATTGTGAGTGGGAAGGGTTTGGAGGAAGTGTTGACAGTGGACCCCCTCCAGCCATGACGATTTTTCAGAGAACAAAACCAGCAGTAATAGTACTTAGCCTTCTTTTTCCCTGTATCCTTGGAGTAGCCCTTACCATGTGTTATAAACAGGACATAATTGGATGGCTTAGGAGAAGGCAGCCCAATTCCACAGAAATAGCAACTGTTTCGAATAGCATGCCAGCAGTTCAGCCTAAAGGAGAGCACCTGCTGGTGAGTCAAAATCCACTACAAAGCACTTACTGAAGACCAGCAAGCAGTTGCTTTGGATGCTGCTGGGGAAATCTCCCGTGAGCAGAGCCAGCTGATAACTCATCAAAACAATTCAACACATTCTGAATAGTTCTAATCTCATGTATCATTAAATGCAGAGTAAATGTTATCTTTGTTTGTTTTAAGTTAATAAATGCAGGCGGTAAGGCATGCTGTTCTTTTCTTCTTTGCACCTCGAGCTCTTAAACTGAACTAGTTAGGCAAACTGTAGGTATAGCTTTTATGCTTCATATCAAAAATTTATAAATGTAAACTTCTTAAAACAGGTGCAAATAAATTAGTTGCTCCATTTTACTGCTTCATCTAATGTTCAGGGAGAGAGATGTTTGTGAACATCTTGCTTCTGTCATTTGTTAATCACCAAACAGAAAAAAAAATTGCTTTTGCAGTCTCCGTTTAATTCACATCTGTGACACGCAAGCAGGCAAGAAACGGGTATTGCAGTGAGATGCAGATACCTGTGGTATAAGCCCTTCCAAGTATTTCCAGGGAGCAGCCCTTCAGGGGGGATTCAGATCATAGGGAACAGGGTCTTCATTTTGTGAGACAGTAGAGAAGTTAGTATCCAGATCACACCACTAGGCATTACATTTCTGAACCATCAGATATACATCAAGAGCGTAGTGACACCAAACCTGACATTTCACAAGAACAAATTGCCTTTCTTTTCTGGAAACTTTCCAGTGCCTTGACTGCTGGGTTCTTCTGAGAAGTGCTATGTATTTTATTGTCGCTAAGAGGAGCTGTGTGTGAGGTGGCAGAAGTTAACTGGATTTCTAAAATATTTAGAACTATTCTGCAAGTCTCCCCCACCTAGAATTCCTGTAATATCCGATCGATGTTTTATCTAACTATATCAGGGGGTTTCTCTTGGGTTTCCTACGTGGTTGGTTCTTAAGCTATTACTGAATGTGTCCCTGCAGCTCTATGGAGTACCGTACAGAAGCATTATATGTTTCATTTTTTAACAGGAGATAAATGTGTCTAACTTAAAAAATACAAGGAGTGTGGAAATACCATTCAATAAGTTCTATTTTTATTATTATAGCAGTGACTAGATATTTCAACCAGATCAGTATAAAAAGGAGTCTGCAGTCCAGATTTATTTTAAAGTACTGGTGTTTCTGGGTGAAGGACTATAATGCACTTGTCTGCTACCAGAAGAATGACTTATATTTGGAAAGCAAAGACCACGTTTTTATCAAACATTCTATAAAGGCGGGATAAGTACTCCAACTTGAAACATTTGGGAAGATGTTGGTGAACCAACACATGATGGTGGTAAACTCTGGCTGCCTCCCAAGTATGACATTTATGGTTTTAGAATACATGTTTTCATGTACGTTTGTTTTTGTTTTTTTTTTAATAGTTGTGTTCTGCATCCAAAAATGGCTGGTTACATTATGATTAGATGTGAAATACAGAGGATGTGATTCACAGTTCTTCATGGCTTTTTGTCTAAAGCAAATGGGTCCTTAAATTGTTATTTATATTTGCCTGGGGAAATGAGGTAACACATTGTTTGTTCACCTTATTGTCTTGACACAACATGAATGGTTTTGATTAGATGAAGAAAATTTAATCCTGTGTTTATGTCAAAAGACAAGATAACTGCCCCTTGACTAACACCTCAAAATTAGTCATAATCAGAAACTTTTTTTTTTTTTTTTTGTGGGGGAGTGGGGTGGGGAGGGGCAGGAAGAGGTGGTTGTGGTTTTTTTTTTTCCTTAGAGAAATAACAGTTCAGGTGTGAGAAGCATGGGATATGTGACTAACAAGGGGAATGTGGATTAGGTGAAAGATAGAGATAAGAAGTCACTGAAGCACTACACGCAGCACCTTCCAACTAGCTATACACAACTGGTAAGTACTGGCAGACTTTTTTTATTATGCTTTTTAAATACATAAACATCAGTGGCAGAATTCTCAGGCTGCCACCTTGATGGCCTGCTGTTGTTGATGGATAGTATACCATAAATGGCCAAATATAGATCTATGCTGAGACCAGAGAAACACTTAGAGAATCAGAGAGTTCTTATTTACATATTTGCATACTGAAGAGACAGAGGTATAAATGAAAGCACAGTTTAGGCTGGAATGCTTACTTGCAAATGCAGTTTTGGAAAAGACAAAGCAATAAAATGCTACAATTTCCATTTTTCTCTAGGCTTAAAGATCGATCTAAAAACCCACGTCAGCAAGCTTTGGACAGCAATGTTTCTGCATGCTTTTCTTCTATTTCTGCTGAGGCCGTATGAGCAAGACAAACATGCATCCCAACAAACCTAGTCTGTGTTTTATAAAATGTGTGAGCTCCCTCACCAAGGTTTTCTCCTTGAAAATATGGTTGTTTCTGATTTCACCATAGCAACAAATAACTTGATACTTCCGGTGGTTTGTTAGAAACATCCCGCTACTCTGTTGCGGTATGAAAGTGCAAGTCTAAGTTCAGTCCCAATCTTTCCGGATCCCCCCCTCTTTTTTTCCCCAAGTTTTAATTGCCTTTTTTAATGTTTTAAATGGATGCGAGAACTTGGCTAAGTCACTCGAACATGGGAGGGGCAGCCTGCCAATGCTGCTGGACCATCTCCCGAGAGATGTGGGTCAGCCTAGTATGTGAAACGGTGCTGGAGGGAAGCGTCTGTCTATGGAGGCGCATGAAATGGTCTGTGCCAGTGCAGCAAGGTGTTAAGTCTTAGGCAGCTGTCAATATGTGGTAGCCAGTAGTGGTGGGGGAAGCCTGGAGCTGCCTAGGAGAAATTTACAACAATGATTTACCCATGTTTCTTGCTTGAAGTCTCTTCCTGGCTAAGTAAGACTTAAAAAAACCCTCTTAATATTGCAGTTATCTCAGATCAAGATAAAATTGGTTTTGTTCTAAGCCAAGACTGTCATCTCTAAAATACATTAAAATTCCTCCTAGGGAACAGTATGTATCTTCAAGGAATTTGCCAAGTACTGAATTAGCGAACGTGAGTTTGGAGGAAAAATAATTGATGGCCATCGTGCAAGTTTTGCTTTTCAGTGTTCTTAATCATTGGCAAAAATAAGTATAGATATCCAGGGCAATATAACTGTGGGAACTGGACTGAAACAGGTGTGAAACTGAATGTTGTGCTTAATGGCTTAAGAAGGCCCCCCTGTGATAGACAAATCATGGTTTTGCTCGTCATCGCAGGTGTAATTGGGCCTTGGATGCCTGTCTCCTACTTCTGAGGCAGGTGTTCTAACACTCGGTTTAGCACTAAGCATTAATGTTGTTGCATTAAGGCATATGGCATACTCTTCCTCTAATCCAGAGATCCATCACCCAGGCTGCCTCTCCCTATTAAATTCAGGAATCCAAAAGTGCAGGTAATCTTGGAATGAATGCAGTCGAAAATATTTGTTATCCATCCTGCAATACCGAACAAACAAATCAGTAGTGTAACACCAAAGACCAGAGCACCTGGTCCTCGTTTTCATCAGAAAAGTTCCTGCAGCGTGTAGACATGGCTGTCCTCATAGTACCAAGCAGTTAGGTGATTAAATTACACCTGGGCCTGTTCATTGTTCCCTGTTGTTGTTGCCTGTACTGCCACACTTGTATCATGTGCCGAAATAGATAAAGTTTAATGAGGACATAAATAGGGATAAATTTTGCCTTGCTATCTTTTTCCCAATAATCTATTGGTTCAAGAACTCCCTTAGGTACAGGAGTCTCAGGTTCAAATGGGGCTCCCCTGTTAGACAGAAAGTTGAACTACTTTGCCTTTTATTGCTAGGTAATTACCTCTTCTGTAGAGTTCTGAGGAAATTTCCCAAATCCTCAAACTGAACACCTTCTACAGGACATAGTTAAGTATTTATTGTTCCCAGCGGTGGTGGTCAGCACAGCGGTTCTGTGCTATCTGTGGTTCTGAATGTAAGGCTTCCACTATATCCCATCGCGGGATAACCAGGAGTTGGCATGGATGCTCTTTGTGCTACCCATCTGCATTGGGTTTTTGCTTCTGCCCGTCACGGTCTGATCTGCTTTTCAGTTTGCTGTGTGGCCAGTTAAAAGGGCTGGGAGCAGGTCACACATCTCTCCATTTCTCTGCTACGCCCGCCCTAGCAAACTATCACCCACTCCGCAACCTTCATGAGAAGCCCACCTCCAGCCTGGGGAGTGAAGGCCAAGATGCTGTGTAGGGGCAGGGGAAGGTGCCCAGGGGCAGGAGGACGCTGTGTTGTGCACCCTGGCAGGCAGGGAAGGTTTCCCGGGCCTAGTCCTCTCCTGCCTCGGCGGTGAGAGCTCATCACAGGGGGCATGAGGGCGAAGCCCCCATTCCGCAGGCCGCCGCAGCTCCCGGGCCCTCAGCGCG